CCTTCCAACCCCTCCACGCTCGGACCGCGCTCGCGCCGGCGCCGCTCCCCCAGGATCCTGCAGACAAGGTCCCTTTCTCTGCCCAGAAGGTGAAAAGAGGCCACCGGGCTCCCTGGCAGCACCTGGAGATTGGGTACGGAGCCTCTGCCACCCTCCCCGGGCGCCTGGGATGTGGGGAAAGTGTGGATGAAGGCAAAGGATGCCACACAGAGACTCCCCGGCTCCGCATCCATCCGGCTTCGGCCTCTCTGAGATGTCTGGATGAGGGTGAAGAGCTCCAGAGGGGGACAGAAACACCAGGCAGGGCTCTCCTGCTGGTTTTGGGCTAAAAAAAAATGTGCTTTATTTTCACTACATGGGCAGGGGAGCGGGAGTTGGAGCACCAGCAGGATGCTACAGGAGCCCTTTTGGGCTTGAATGTAAAATAACCTGCACAATTTCGGAGCGGATCACCACGAATTCAGCAATCTCAGCACTCAGAATATGACAAACCAGACAGTTCGAAGCAGCCCAGGTTATTCCACAGCCACAGCGCGGCCGTTTATCGCTTTCAGATGTTTCTGCAGACGCGGGGAGCCCGCGGGGACGGAGGGGAGAGGAAAAAGGAAAAGCTGTGGCTAAAGCATTTCCTCCCCTCAGAGCATGGAGAAGGGGTGGGGGAACATTTTGGATGACGAACGGCTTCTGTGAGTCACTGGAAAAACCCCAAAGGTTGGGTCTGGCTCTGGGGGTGTCTGTTTTCCCTTTGGGAAGTGGTCACCGCGCCACATTGGGAAAGCTCGGCCTAAACCAAGCATCCAACAGCAAAGCTCGGAGCAAGCACCCAAGCATCACCCCGCAGGTTTTGGGTGCTGATGGATCCAGTCAAGGGAGGACTGGAGTTTTGAATTGCCTTTGGTCTCACCTCCCATTTGCTTCCCGGCAGGACCAGGGCAGGCTGAAGGCAGAAAAAAAAAACCCAAGGCAACCACAGAGTCATTGAGGTTGGAAGAGACCTTCAAGATCATCAAGTCCATCAACCCAGCCCCACCGTGCCCACTAAACCATGGCCCCAAGTGCCACATCCACCACTTCTTGAACCCCTCCAGGGATGCCCTGGGCAGCCCCTACCTGTCCCTGATAACCCTTTCAGGGAAGGAATTTTTCCCCATGCCCAATCTAAAACTCCCCTGGCACAACTTGAAGCCATTTCATCTTGTGCTGTCACTATTTACATGGAAGAAGAGACCAAAACCCACCTCTCTACAATCTCTTTCAGGGAGTTGTAGAGTGATAAGGTCTCCTATAAGTCTCCTTTTCACCAAACTAAACAATGCCAGTTCCCTCAGCCACTCTTCATAATTCTTGCTCTCCAGACCCTCCCTAGCTCCCTTGCCCTTCCCTGGCCATGCTCCAGCCCCTCAATGTCCTTTTTGGGACCCAAAACTGACCCCAGGATTTGAGGGGCGGCTTCACCAGTGCCCAGCACAGGGGAAGGATCCCTGCCCTGCTCCTGCTGCCCCCTCCATTGCTGATACAAGCCACGATGGTGTTGTCCTCTTGACCACCTGGGCACTCTGCTGGCTCCTGTTCAGCCGAATTTCAACCAACCCCCACGGGTCCTTCTCTGCCTGGCACCTCTACAGCCACTTTCCTCCCATGTTAACAGCAAACTCTGCTGGTTTGAGCACGGGCAAAAGCGCAGCCGAGCTCTGCGGTCGCAGGATCTGTATTCAAAGCAAAACTCAGCGCTTCAGCAATACAGGAAATCTCCCTATGGTCCTGGAATTTACAATCACCGAGGGTTTTGTCCCATGCAAATAACCCAGGAGCTGGCAAAACCCATCCTGGGTCCGATTTGATTTTAGAAGGGAACACTGCAACAAACCAGCATCTTCTGCCCAAGCCGAGCAGGATTTGCCATTGGGGAAAGTTTCCATTGATCCTTACTGAATGAAAGCAAGAAAGACTTCTAAATAATCCAAAGCACCAGGGTAAAACCGGTGCCCTTTTAATTCCAACAGCTTCTTCCTCTTTATCTGCTGTTACTCAGAGACAGCGCAATGCCGTCGTGGAAAAAGCTGGGAGTTATTGTGGGGGCGAGGATTTTCTGGACATCCCAATTTTTCACGAGCCAAAGAGAACATTGCTTCTCTCTGCAGTTACTTTTACCATTGCCTGCGCTGTATCACAGCATCACAGAATGGGAGGAGT